CAAAAAAAAAAAAAAAAAAGGAAAGGGACAGAGAGGGGGCAAGTCAGTCTGAAGGGGTTGGAAAGTTCTTCGTGGCCCCTCCCCTCCTCTTCCTTCCTATGTTACCTCCTGTGCTGTTTTCCCTGTGCCCCTTCCACATTCATGCCTTCGTGAATGGGGGTTAAATTAATTTCTTAGTCTCCTATTATCAAGCTGTATGGATAAGAGCACATGGGTCATATTTTAGCACACGTGTGTGTGGGTGAGAGAGAGAGAGAGAGAGAGAGAGAGAGAGAGAGAGACGCTGTCACTTCCTGGCTATATGACTGAATCAGTTATGTATTTCTACCATACTAATGCATGACCAATTACCCCCAGATGTAGGGGTATAAAACAGCAATTATTTTCTACAAGTCTCCGGTTGGCTGACCTCTCTCACATCTGTGGTCTGCTGGCAGATTGGCTGGTCTGGGATGACCTCATCTGAGATGACTTTTCTCTGCTGAGCATGGTTTCAGCAGCAGCATGTTAGCCCTGGCTTGTTCTCATGGCAGTGGCAGCATTCCATGACAGAGAAAGAGAAAAGTGGTGCACAGGGGCTCTGGAGGCCCAGGCTTGGAACTGAAACGTCACTTTTCCTGCAGTCTATTGACCACAGCAAGTTACAAGGCCATTCTGGATATAAGGACTAGGGAAATGAAATTTACCTCTTGATGGGAAGAATTACAAAACCATATTGTAAAGGGCATGGATCTAGGGAAGAGTGGAGAATTGCAATCTAACACAGTGAACATAAAGGAGAAGTTACTTAAATTTGGGGGCATCAATTTCCTCAATAAGAAAAAAATGGGACCTACATTATAGAGCTCTAAAATGTGATCATGCCCTTAACATAATGCTTGGCATTAACAGTTAGCAAATGACAGAGAAGATGATTATGATCAATATGATGACAGAGAGCATAGTAAAGGTTACAGGCTGATGTCAGATGCCTGAGTTAAAATTCCAGCTCTGCAATTTAATAGCTGCATAATCTTGGGCAAGT